GGAAGGGAAAAAAGGGGAAAAGGTGGAGGGAAAAAAAGGGGAGAAGATTAAAGGGAAAAGGGGGAGAAGGTGAAGGAAAAGGGAGAAAATTAAAGGGAAAAGGGAAGGAGATTAAAGGAGGAAGGGGAGAAGATGAAAAGGGAAGAAGGTGAAGGGAAAAGGGGAGAAGGGGAAGGGAAAGGGGGAGAGGGGGAAGGAAAAGGGAGGAAATTAAAGGGAAAAGGGGAGAAGGAGAAGGGAAAAGGGGAAGGGAAAGGGAGAAAATTAAAGGGAAAAGGGGAGAAGATTAAAGGAAGAAGGGAAGAAGGCAAAGAGAAAAGAGGAGAAGGTGAAGGGGGAGAAGGTGAAGGAAAATGGGAAAAGGTGAAGGGAAAGGGAGAAAATTGAAGGGAAAAGAGAAGGGGAAGGGAGAAAATTAAAGGGAAAGGGGAGAAGGGGAAGGAAAAGGGAGAAAATTGATGGGAAAAGGGGAAGAAGGGGAAGGAAAAGGGAGGAAGAAAAAGGAAAAAGGGGGGAAGATTAAAGGGAAAAAAAGGGAAGAAGGTGAAGGGAAAAGGGGACAAGATGAAGGAAAAAGGGGAGAAGGGGAAGGAAAAGGGAGGAAATTTAAAAGGGGAAAATTAAAGGGAAAAGGGGAGAAGGGGAAGGGAAAGGGGGAGAAGGGACAAGGGGGAAAATTAAAGGGAAAAGGGGAGAAGGGGAAGGAAAAGGGAGAAAATTGAAGGGAAAAGGGGGAAAATTAAAGGGAAAAGGGGAGAAGATTAAAGGAAGAAGGGGAGAAGGGGAAGGGAAAAGGGGAAAAGGGGAAGGGAAAAGGGGAAAAGGGGAAGGGAAAAAAAGGGGAGAAGGGGAAGGGAAAGAGAGAAAATTAAAGGGAAAAGGGGAGAAGATTAAAGGAAAAAGGGAACAAGGTGAAAAGGGAACAAGGGGAAGGGAAAAGGGAATGAGGGAAAGGGAGAAGGGAACAGAATGAAGGAAAAAGGGATCAAGGGGAAGAAAAAAGGGAACGATGGGAAGGAAAAGGGAACGAGGGGAAGGAAAAAGGGAATGAGGGGAAGGGAAAAGGGAATGAGGGGAAGGGAAAAGGGAATGAGGGGAAGGGAAAAGGGAATGAGGGGA